CTCTCTCTCTCTCTCTTTCTGCAATCTGATTGGTTGGCTCAGAGGAAAAAAAACTTTCCGTCTTACTTCCCAACTGTGGCAACATTCACACCTTTAACTCCTTCCCTCCCACAACTAAACCGCTCTGTTAGGATCTGATAGTAGTACTGGTTGTAGTACTGGTGGTAGTACTGGTTGTAGTACTGGTGGTAGTACTGGTGGTAGTACTGGTTGTAGTACTGGTGGTAGTACTGGTTGTAGTAGTTTTATTAACATTTTCTTGTGTTTAATTAGAGGAAATCACAGAAATGTCAAAATAAAAGACAGAATAAACAGAATAAATAATCTGATCAATAAACAGGCACTGAATGGGTTAACTCTCTCTCTCTCTCTGCGGCTTCAGTGTCTCTCTACCACACCCAGGGGGGAGGGGTCTGTTACCATGATGACTGTGTTTTTGTGTGTGTAGAGAAAGAGAGAGAGAGAGAGAGAGGCTCATGTTTTTAAGGTGAAGTCATCTGGAAGGAAAACTGTCTCTCTCCCTCTTCCTCTCTGTGTGAATGTCTCTCTCTCTCTTCCTCTCTCTGTCTCTCTCTCTCTCTCTTCCTCTCTTTGTGTGATTGTCTCTCGCCCTCTGGTTCGTTTTCTAATCAAAAGCCTGTTTACAGAACTTCACTGTTAAAATACAACATTTATAAGTCGTCTCCGCGGACTGAATGTGAATGTGAAGGTTCTCCACAGTTCTCATGTTCCAGCAGAAAGAGAACCCATCACTAACTGACTGTCGCCGGTTCTCAGAGTTTATTTGTTAAGAACAGCCGATGTTAAAACGGATCAGATTTTAATGGAATTTGATGGCTGGAGTTTGAGGAAGATGGGTTCTAAACTTCTAAACTGGTATGAAATGTAAGAGGTCCTAGTGAGGGAACCTAATGGGTACCTTAGGGCAATCATAGGAGACCCTTGGAGGTATCTTAGTGGAACTACAGTGGAACCTCAGTGAGAACTTCAGGGGAATGTGAGTGGAACCTTCTAAGGAACTATAGGCTTACCTTTGGAAAATACTAGGAGAACCCCAGAGGATCTTTAGTGGAACCTAACGAGAACCAAAGGAAAGCCTTCAGATAGGTTTTCCACTGGTCTGCTTAGGATGTGATGTTTTCTTCTGGTTCACATCAGACCTGTTGGATTTCAGTGGAACATTCTCCTCTAGTGCGACGTGTTCTACTTATAGAACCCAAACACAGCAGAACCAGCCTCAGTGCTTGTGTTTTATAACAGCTATTTACAGTTCAGCAGTTCTTTGTAGTGAGTGCGTGCAGAGAACACAGAGAACCGTTCTGAGGAAGGTCAGAAGGTAATGAGGTGGAAAGAGGAAGAGACGCTCACATCATGGAATTCATAAACACAATATACTGTATGTTGAGGGGGGGGGGGGTTCCTTCCTTTAACTGAGGATTCATTTGGAATGTCAGAAATTCCCTCCCACAGAATGTGAGAACATATTTTTCCACTGAAGACTTATAGTCTCTCCGTTACCAAGAAACCTTCAGTAACTGATATTAATACTATTTATATATTATACTCGGAGCTTCGTCCTCTGAAAAAGACCATGAGACACAGCTGAAAGCTCCAGATACAAAGTTCTGTGAAAAGAACAAAGAAAATAACAGTTTGAAAGTTTAATGTCTATGTTGTGTAAAAGTGTTTGGATTCAGTCAGAGAAGGTACAAGTACTCAGAGTACAGATACTCGAGTAATAAAGGATACTTTGGTAAAAGTAGAGTCCAGGTTTCAGTGCTGAAAGGGGAACCAGTGACAGATGGGGGTACGCTAAACAATGAAGAGCTGTAGATTAAAAATAATGTTATAATATTTAAAGTATAAATAATAATGAATTATATCTCGAACATTAACATTGTTGTATTTATTTAAACAGTTTAATGACTTTGTGGTTAAATAATAATAATAATAATAATCAATGTGCGCAGCAGCCACCAGGGGGCGACAGTGGCTGCTCCAGAAGACGGTACCGTAGAAGAAGAAATCTGCCGTTGATGAGGAAGTGATCAGCTGATTGATTGAAATCTTCTTCATCATCTTCTTCTTCATCCTCTTCAGACTCTCCCGAGGGAAACAACATGGCGTTCATCACAGCCAACTGGAACCCGCTGGGAGAAGCTTTTTATCGGTCAGTTTATCCACTGCTAACGTTAGCTGCCTGTTAGCATTGTTATCCTGCTCATCATGTGACGCTGCTAACGTTAGCTGCAGGCTAGCTTTAAATGTAATTGACAGTGTGTGTTGGCTGTTAGCAGACACAATGTCGCTCAAAAAGTTACATTGGAACGTTTAATCACGCACAACAGGTGATGTCAGGTGAGTTACTTCATTGACGAATTGAGCAGAAGACTGGAACCAATCACAGCCCGAGTTCAGTCCGGTTAACGAGTGTTGTTGATTTCACTGAGAAACACAGCAGCGTTAAAATGAGCGAATTTTAAATGGAGACTTTATAATGGTGTGTGTGTGTGTGTCTGT